GTAATTGGATTCAGAAAGCTTAGTGTCACAAGTGTCACACCTCTAATGGAGTCACAAACACCATAAGCAATAAGGATGAAGAATGAGGAGAGAAGAGGCACTAAAAAACGTCTAGAAATCCTAAGGAATCAGTTAGCCACGTTTTTGGGGCCATAGGGATCCTTAAATATGTGAGGCTATTAGGGTTTTGAACTAGGAAACCCTAATCTGACTGCTTAGGCCCTAAGCAGCCCATGGACTCCTCCTTTAGAGGCCTTGGACGAATTCTAATGGGTTTCCCCATATATTTCTTCCACTCCATCCTCTATGGAGTCCATTAGCCCAATATCCAACTATCACACAATTGACACTTCTAGTCCCCTTTATTTAATTAATGTCTTTTAGCCACAAAATTAATTATGATTAATTCTTGACTAATATTAATTAAATAATATGATTTCTCTCTTAATCTATTATTCATATAATATATTAATAAATCATAATTAATCTCTTTTTTCCATAAATCATCCTATCAAGTTGCTTTGGTGAAGGTAACCCAAAAGGACCATGCTCGCAATCGGGTCAAGTACATACCAAAATAGTTATGGGCTTAGACACTAATCCAACAAGAAAACCCAACACCTTCAATCCACGAGTATAGTGAGAATACTCACCTCAATCCTGAAACTAATATTAACCACCCACCCGAGCCGATGATATCAAGTCTTCTATTGCTAAAGATAACCATAAATAAACCCTAATTAACAATCAAGGAAATGACTGGCCCACGAAAGCTCTAGGCTCATAATTAAACCCCCTTTGGGGAAAATACCATTTTGCCCTTCCAATACTAAGTCCAAAAGTAAAACTAGCCAAAAATTTAATGGTCAACTCTCAGTTGACTTACACCCTACGTAACTAATCTACGCCCATGCATAGAGCTACATCCCGCGTACCTAGATTACGCCATGCATAATGCCTCTAATCCCAAAAACTTCTATTAAGCTCTTAATACAGCAAGCTAAACTCTCAAACTCCAATATATGATCTAAATAAATGTCTTAATGGATAAAGTCTCTAACTTTATTCATTTGTATGGTCACAAAGAGCACAATACCAAAACCTAGGTCCATAAAGTTATATATTGTTAAAAAACCCATGCATGGATGGATGAGAGTGCCCAAGCTCTCATTTTTATGACTTAATAACCTCAAAAATATCAGAAGGAGGCGCTTAAATGGTGTGGAGTAACCCATACTCACAAGAACGAATATTAAGGGACAAAAAGCATAAAACCCATGAGCTAATTAGATCTAACAAATGGAACATCAAGATGCAAGATTTATACCTTCTAGAGATTGGTGGATGAAGTGTGAAGTCTGGATCTATGAAGCTTGGAGCACACACTTGGTTCTCCAATGGACTCCTTCTTCAAGAATGCACACAAAATCACACTAAGGCTTCCAAAACACATAATTGGTGGCTAGGGTTTCAAAAGAACGGTATGGGTGATGGAGGCTGGTAATGGGAAGGGTTCCAAGAAGTTGGATCCCTTAAATAGGGCTGAAAACCTTAGGATTAGGGTTTTGGCCGGCGGCAATTACACCCTACATAACCTAAGTAACACCACGTGTAGCTCATTATAAACACGACCAACATTCAACAAGCTACGCCTTGCATAACATATGGCAAAACCACAAACTTTTAATTCAACTTCAAAGAACCATAACTTCTTCGTTTTAACTCCGTTTTCGACGTTCTTTATATTTACATAAAGGTATAATCATATCTAGTTACTTTTAGCTTACTCATATCAAAATGAAACCATAATCCATGCATGAAGCCCGAAAAATAACTTTTCCCATTTTACCCTTTGGTTCCAGCATACAAATCAAGGGCTTAGATCTCGTAACCAATATTATCATTCCTCAATAAGCTCTAACCTTTACTTCCTCAAAGCCTAAAGCCATTTTCTTGATCGAATTACAACCCACAAACCCGGAATTAAGAAACATCTGAAACAGGTTGTTACATGAAATCTTTTGGGTACCCAATAATGTTATAACATTTTTCTATAGGATGTCATTTCAAACTATAACTCTTACACTAAACAAATTGGCTCTTATTCTTATTGGAATTGTTGGAATTAAACTGGTTGTTAAACCCACTGCTAAAAGCAGTGGGCTGAGTTTTGGAAGAAGATTGAGTACTAGATAAGGACCCATTTCTTTAATGTAATTCTTCACGCGAAATTATGGAAAAAGAAGTTTTAACATTAGGTAACGGATCGATGAGAAGAATATGACTTTTAGCTTTATTATAAGAATCATCAAGACCATTTAGAAATTGCATAAGTTTTCATAAGTTTTGAATGATCATTAAGTTTAGTGGCAGCCTTACACGTGCACTTAGTTAAACTATTTAATCCATCAAATTCTGTAACACTGCATTTCAGGTTGTTCTCTTTAAGCCCTTCATTTGAAAATCTTTTCAAATTGGTCCCTAGCCGAGTACGATGGGCCTACTCTATGAGTACATTGGGCGTACTGGCTCGTAGGTTTGCTCACGGAGGCGCCCATGTATGTGGGGCGTACGTGAGAGTACGTGGGTCGTACGTTCGACTGGGGCAAACCCTAAGTTTTTGGGTTTGTGCCCTATTTAAACACCTTAAGTTGCTTTGGGAGTTTCTTATGACCAACCTCCACCTCTCCAAACCTTGAGAACGAAACCCTAGCCTTCATTTGAGTGTTTGTGAGCCATTGTTGTGATCTTGTGGTGTTTTTGGATCCATTAAAGGAGGTGAAGCTTTATAACGTCCCAAAAATAAGACCTAAAAATTTCATTTTTTGATTTATTAAAACATTAATCCAAACGTTTTCATCCAACCCCAAAAAGATCAAAGTATGTCAATACATCAAAATATATCATAGTAATTCTCAAAATGCGGAAAAAGGTGGTGTGTGCTCTGCAATCATCCCGGGCTCTTCCCTTTTGATTTGGAAGTACCTGAAACAAAAACTGAAAACCGTAAGCCCAAAGCTTAGTGAGTTTTCCAAAATACCACATACCATGTAATGATTATAAAATAGACATTTTATATGCTAATTAGAGGGTGTTTGACAAAGCTTAAAAAATGAACTTTTTTGACTTATTACCGGTTCCACACCAGTATAAGTAAAAAAGAGTGTTTGGGTAAAAATTAAAAAAAAAAAAAAACAACTTATAACTGTTTGAAACCTCCAATACTTCATTTTTTGATAAGTTATTTACCCGTTATCAAAACCTCCTTATTTCACCATTCAAAGAAATTAATAAATATACCCCTTAACCTAAACCTACATCAACACAAAAACATACGCTATAAATTAATAAGTTTATTGCATTTTGACACCGGATAAGCTTAGCCAAATATTTTTAAAAAAATTCTGTTTTAATACCGTTATAAGTTAAAAAGTGAAAAGCTAATTTAAATAAGCTTTGCCATACACCCTCTTAATACCTTATATATATGTATAATTGTACAGACTTCGATATTATCTATTCTTTATCCATCATGTCTTTGTCTCCTACAGTCATACTCTCCTCCATATTCATTAAAAGAGAAGGAAGGAGGTCTCATATTTCCATATGAATATTACAGTAATATATTTTTAGAGGATATCAACAACCATCGTTAATATACTTAGCTACAAAATAAAGTTTTTTTTTTGAAAATAGCTTTTCGTTTGATGACAAGAGGACACCATTACATATGCTTGGCCACTTCAAACGACAATTTCTTTGTTTTTATTAGATACAATGATGGCATAAATAAGAAATTACACTTAATGTATTTTCCGCAATAATCTTTTTTTTTGTAAACTATCAAAAATTTACCAACGAACATCTTGAAGGGGTTCTTTACAACTTTTGTGGGAAATGTGAATGGTGGATAAATAACAAGGAAAATGGAAATGATTTTTTTTATCAATTTGGTTTTTGTCCTATTGTGTTCTATGATTTTGGATTAGACTAAATTTTGGAGAAATAGTCTCATTGGACTTGGTCAACAACTAACTTTGTCCCAGTCTCGTCCATGCCAAATGCTCAGTGAAAGGATCTTGTTCTATTCTGTTCTGTCCTGTTCCGCGCACCAAACGGGGCCTAAGGGCCCTAGACATGGAGCTTCTCCATAAACGAAAGTTTTCATTTCCAGTGAGTTTTATTGTAACAATGGAAGTAGTAGCATTATCAGATGTAAAGAGGATTATCAAAATTAATTGAATCATTCTTTTCATTCCTTTTAGGCGGATCATTAGGATCAACCATGAAACATGATTACAAAAATACACAATCAGGTGGAATCACACAACAAACAAAACAAACAACTGTAACAACCAAAAGTCCAGGTGCTCACCACAATATGTTAGGGCCCAAAACAGGTAGACACAGTGTCGAGAGAAAACAAGAATACAGCAAAAACACAGAGGATAACCAGATAAAATGCACAAAGTAAGACAACTAAGATCTCTCTTTACACTACGAAAGAGAGTAAAAAAGGGATTGTTAGTGTGCGAAAGTGACCACAAATCTTCACTAGGAACCTTTCTTTCATTCTAAATTGTGATTTTCTAACATCAAGGGTCATGATTCTCAATCGAGGACCGAACACAAACATTAAACAAAGATGGTGTATTTTGTAATATTCTATTTTGCTTTTTCGACATTTTAGTGATTTGCCCATCTTATAATGTTAAAAAGTCAAATAGTAACATCCCAATTCCAATTTAAGTGATTAAAGCTTAAATATTGTATAATTTTATATTCGTTTTCTTCCAAAATAAAACAAAATTCAAGCACTCGATGGGGCAAATCTGGGTTTTTTCAGTTAGTATTGGGCGGCAAATGGCAATGGTCTCTCTCGTCTTTCTCTTTCTGTGTCAAAATTTTCAGTTTCAGGTTTCAAGAACTAAACACCATTACATGATTACCAACTCCCATTTCCATACACTCTCAACATCTTCTTCTCTCTTTCGTAAACCATGCCTCCATATTTTCATCTCCTTCTTGTGTCCTCCATCTTCACCTTCGCTTCTTCTTCTTCGTCTTCTTCATCCCCCCAAACTTCACCCACGAAAAACCTAACCCTTCTTGGTTCCGCTCATTTCAAGAACAACTCTATTATCCTCACTCAAGAACTCACTACCTGCAACTCTCGATCGAATTCACCAGTTGGCAGAGTTCTCCACTCTTTCCCTGTTCGCTTTCTTCGTTCTTCATCAAATTCCACAGTCTCTTTCTCCACTCGTTTCACCTTCACCATCGTTCCACCTTCTCCTCCATGCCTCGCCGGCGATGGTATCGCCTTCCTCATCGCTTCAGATCCCAGTTCTTTACCACATACCGATGGGTATTTAGGTTTACCGGATTCCCCTGCTTCACACCCGTTTTTCGCAATCGAATTTGATACTACTTTCAATCCGGGTCTTGGTGATATCAATGATAATCACGTCGGAGTGGATGTGGATTCCATCATTTCCGTTGCGTCGATTGATTTGATGTCAGAAGGGATTGATTTGAAAAGTGGGAAAAGGATTACAGTTTGGATCGAGTATAGAGACCCAGAAAAGATTATCCGGGTTTGGGTCGGGTACACGGATACTAAGCCTGAATACTCTGTTCTTGCGGTTCCAATTGATCTTTCCAAGACACTAAAAGAGTACATGTATGTGGGGTTTTCTGCGTCTAATGGAAGAGGATCATCGATTCACTCTATCCAGAAGTTGCAGATTCACACATTTGAATCATTGACTCCAAATACGCAAATGGAAACTGTAAGTTCAAGAAACTGTTTGATGTGTTATCCAGATGATCCAAGCATCGAAGAAGCTGAAATTAGTTTATACAATGATCATCATAAAGACAATCGGGTACTCGAATTAGCTTTCGGTTTGTTGTCCATCACTTTTCTTCTGATAATGGTTGCTACTATTTCCGTACTTTATTGTATGTGTTTAACAAAGAGACAAGCAATCAAACAACGATGCAACGAAAACGCCCAAATGTATCGATTTCAAGAAGCCGGAGTTCCCAAAAAACTGAAATTATCGGAGATCAGATCAGCTACAAAAGAGTTTGATCAGAACCGGATCATCGGAGAAGGTGCGTCTTCAAAAGTTTACGAAGCGAATCTTCCATCTTGTGGGAATGTTGCAGTGAAGAGGTTTAGCAAAGTGAATCAACCGAGTACACTGGGGAACCAGTTCGCGACGGAGCTCGCAACAATGGTGGGATGCTTACGTCACAAGAACCTAGTGCAGCTTCAAGGATGGTGCTGTGAAGCGAACGAATTGGTTCTGGTTTACGAGTACATGCCTAATGGATCGCTCGACAAGCTTCTCCACCGGCGAACCAACGCCAGCCGGACATTAACCTTTGAAAAACGATTGAATATACTTTTAGGCGTTTCTTCAGCTCTCGTGTATTTACATGAAGAATGCGAGAGGCAGATCATTCATAGAGATGTAAAAACCTGTAATATAATGCTGGACGCCGATTTCAACGCCAAATTGGGCGATTTTGGTTTGGCGGAGGTCTATGAACACAGTGAGAGGGGGCGTGATGCGACGTTGCCTGCTGGAACGATGGGATACCTGGCACCGGAGTATGTTTATTCCGGTATTCCGACTGTGAAAACGGATGTTTACAGTTTTGGGGTGGTGGTTTTGGAGGTGGCGTCAGGGCAGCGGCCGGTGAACGAGGATGGGGTTGTGGTGACAGAGTGGGTTTGGGATTTGTGGGAAAAGAGGATTTTGTTTGCGGCGGCGGATCCGAATTTGATGGGGAGGTTTGATAAGGTGGATATGGAGAGGATGTTGATGGCTGGATTGATCTGTGTGCACCCCAATTCCCAGAGAAGACCGACGATGAAGGAGGCAGGACGGATGCTGCGAGGAGGGTTAGTACCAGATTTGCCGGTGAAAAAGCCGACGGTGATGATTCAGTCAGTTATGCCGGAGAGGACGACGGAGATGGTGGCTAGGATGTGTGGCGAAGATGCCGATACGCCGTGGTCTACTCCGAGGACTCATTTTAGCAGCAAAGCTGGTTGATTTGCTGTACTGAATTTTGTTGTTTGAAAGCTTGTAAATTTGGGCTTTTTTGTACATTTACTTTACATTTTACAACATGTTTTTTACATTTTCGAACTACGTCGTTTTGATGACATTCTAAAGAGGTTAGATTACGATTAATTGTCATCGTCAATATGCTTAGGCCAAATAAAGCAGAGGATTAATAACGGTTACACTATATGGATTTATTTTGTAATATGGTTTATAACAATGAAATTGCATTTTTTTATTAAGATAAGGGGAAACGACAACAAACCGCTTACGTGATTTTCCTTTTTGATATTATATTTTTCTTTTGCAATAAAAGGGATATCGTTTAAAAAAAAATTCAAATCTATTCATTCATCATGTTAGGATGAAGGGAGTCGTCGTAGTCGTCAGTCCCAAGATAGACACAATGATATTCCGACCGTCATCGTCATTAACACCATGTTCCTCAGTTTCATTTAACGAGAGAAAAGGAGGTAAATGGAAGGAATCAGGAGGAAATGAGGAGATGATCTTGTTCCTGTTCTTTTTTTTAATGGATTTGGAAAGAAAAATATAAGATAAGGGAAGATCTTCCCCCTAATCTTCCTCTCAAATTAGAGAGATTTGGAGAGAAGTCGACACTATCTTATCACTATTTATATGCACAATGCCAACCCGAAAGTTGTTTAATACATCACATACATGATTTGCATCCTCAAGTTGTTCATCAAGGTTTGCAATTTCGTTCCTGCAATTTCAATCTCACACACGTAAAACTTTTTTTTTTCGATTAAGAGTTTGTATTGATGTATCAAATAATGTATGTGTGTGATCTTTGACATTAGATTAAATAAAAAACAAAATTAATAAACATAAATAAATATTTTACTAATATATATATATATATATATATATATTATATATATATATATATATATATATATATATATATATATATAAAAGCTCAGGTACCCAAATTCATCATACTACATTGTTTTGTATCATATATATATACATTGTAATTGTCTTGTGTTCTTATAATTCAACTTCTCACTTGATTTACTTCTAAGATTTTTATATATTTTACATTTATCTTCCTCTTACAAAATTTTCATTTTCAACTATAATATATATAGCCTAGTAGGTTTTCGGCAAAATGATGTGATATAAGAGTAGGATAATAGTGAAATTTCGAAAAATCATCAAAGTAAATCAAGTTAGGGGTTGAAGTTTAATAACATTATAATGAATATATCAAATAAAACGACTAATTATGGTGGGTTTGAGTACTTAAACTTATATACCCTTAAGGGTATATTCACTTTTCCATATATATATATATATATATATATATATATATATATATATATATATATATATATATATATATATAAGCTCAAGGGTATAAATTGTAAATCCAAGAAATCATTTTTGATTAACTAATTTGCATTTGTGGTAGGATTTGTCACGATGGAAAAGTTCAGGGACCAAATGTGCCATATCCTAAAATTCAAGTTGTCTTCTTCACCTACAATGGAATTATACGCAGTGTCATTGTTGACCGTTTGCAAAGCTGCCTCCGTGGAGGGAGTCATGCCACAAGACACCTACACCCCTTTGGGGCGGTGTTCATGCGTAGCTTGGCCAGCCATGCGGGATTTCACGCGTAGACAAGCCTCCCATACCGGATAGCCTAAGAATCAGTGCAATTGATAACGCTAAGTTTGATACAAATTCCTTTTTTTTTTTTTTTTTCAAATTCACCTCAGTTTCGGTTAGCTCTTTTGGTTGTTTTGAGTTGGGAGATCAAGAACCAAATTGAAACCGAAAAAATTTGAAACCGTGTTAACCAAAACCAGATGGAAATTTAAGGTGTTGTTTTTATTCGGCAAAAGTCTTATATATACTAATTAATAATTTTAATTTTTTTAGCCTTTATAACTTTTACAGTGGGACTCAAGGCACGTGCGGTAACACTTCCATTTTTCTAAATTGGTTCAAATCCTATGAGCTCGACTCAAATGAGCCCATGAGAAGGATTTGCAATGCAACTCCATATAAAGTGCTTAACATCATCGCTACAGCGAGTCCTTTCCTTTCCCTATAACCTTCGAAATAGGGGAAACCGGAAACCACATGTAGGCAAACCATTTTTCAACGTTCAAGAGTGGTCGTGCAAAAAACTCTCTACCTAGCAAAAAGATATATGCATACCTAGTTACTACAATGAAACAAATCTAACAATTGACCTATAACCCATTGACCCACTAAGGCTGTGGGGGTGTCGTGATAATCTTATCATTGGTATGCAGACGTGGCGTGTTTACAGGCGGTAAACACCGCACCATTATCCTAATTTTTACCAGCAATTATTTTCAACAATGAGTTCTCACCGTCTAGTTCACCACTCATCAAAACAATTTACCAAACCTATACCACTTCTTCTTACTTCAATGTATTTTTGGATTAGCTCATGGTACAACAAGCCAATACATAAATGTTTGACGTCATGGCATGTGTGACTTTTACACAGCAAATTCATGTGTATTTTTCATAATGCACGTCATACTAATCTTCAAGCATGAATTAGAAAAAAAAGAGTTGATAGGCAAAAAAAAAATCATCACACACCATTTGTAGGTAAAGGATGGCCAAAATGATAAAAACTTATGGGACGCCTACGTGACACCTTTTTACCATTGGTAAAAATTGCACCAGCTTTTTAAAACCGACGATAGGCATGTGGTTATGTATTATGGTTTGCTTTTTTGAGTCGTGTCATCTGGGTCGATTAATAACCAATAAATCGGGTACTTGGTGATACCAAATCGAATGGGTTAGATACTGTTTCCATCGGGTGGGTGAAATATCTGATCCAAATAAACTAAAATCTCCATGCTTAATAAAACACTCCTAAACCAGCAACGTGTCATCTTTTTAGCACTGTCTTATGCCACATGTCCTTCCACCATCGTTCTGCTCTCTCATTTTCCCGCCCAATGATTTTCTTCGTTCAATCACATTCAATTCCTAAATATCAGCTTTCCGTTGTATTAATTGACTATCCTAATTTACCTGCACTCGATCCATTCGAATCCCTACAAAAAAGGAAAGGACGTGTACCTTCTGTAGACCTTCTGCTTTCGTTTTCCCGCTCATTTTTTCTACCAATTTTCCGATTATACCTTTCACTTGAAACATATTAGACCACAATCATACAGCTTGGAACAAGATAATATTTCTAACTACAAAGCCTAGAAATTAGGAGGTGATTAGCATAATCTTACGAAATCATGGAGCTAATCGTTTCCAGGTTTGTTTTTCAGTCTCTATTTATACTATGCGATTCCATAACCATCCTTCTTAACCCACTTTTTCTTTCTTGATTCCACTGTTCATCGATACAGAGGTTCTCCTTGTGCAATTGGAAATTTTAAACCATAACGTATATCTACAAGCGGTGTGTACTCTTCTTTATTTTAAGCTTTCGAGTTGTCATGTTTTAAGAATAAATATACTCTGAATTAAATAGTTTTTGATAGTAATACAATAATTCTTCATGATGGTTATGTTTACTTTATATTGTCGATTTTAGATGTGCCAGTTATGATGTTTCTTTTTTCTTCCTTCATATTGATCTCTAGGTGTTTGATAAAATGCCGATGAGAATTTTTTTTGTTATCAAACACTGTTTTACACTCACAAACAGTCATATACACATTTTTTAAAGTTTTATTCTTTGCTTCCATTTTTTAAATATTTATCAAACCTATATGTGTATGTGTTGATGTCTGTATGTGTTGTGTTGTGTTGTTGTGTGTATGCATCTCCTATATGTCTTATCTTAGTTCCTATAATTGTTGGCATATGTGAGATCTCATAATTATGAAAACACATAAAGTTTTTCTAACAAAAAATGACTAAATTTCCTTCATCTTTTCTAAACTTTGGTATCAATTAAATAAGAATTTTCTTTCTTTCATTCAAGCTCTGTCGAAAGTCAATATACAAAAAATGTCATGACGTGTTTTAATATTTTTTTCATTAAACACATATTCATTGTTTGTTGATGAATATGATCGATTATATGTAATCACAGAACTGTTGTTGATTGCATGTTATGTTGTTTTGTTGGAAACATATATGACAGTAAATACAACTTCATTTATGGGTAACTATGCTTTGTAGTAATTGAAGCACTTGAGGTTGTGTTGATAATTTTGTTCCAAAAGACTACAATATTTGTTTATAAGTGTTTGTGTTTGTTTAGTTTGGTTGACTGCTTGAGTTAAAAAATATTAGACGTTGAAATTTAATCATCAAGTTTTTTTTCAAGTACAATTTATGGATCAAGACCAAATATTGTGATTACTTAATATGAGATCGATCTTTTTAATTTATAATATTCTTTTTCATGAAATTCATTTTTAAATGATTTAGACTATTAATCATCAAAAAAAATTTATAGTTTTTTTCAACATTTTTTTAGCTACATATCTTTAGATCTCAAGTCAACCTCTAACATCTTCTGATTCCCATTTTAATTTCTTTGTTTTCAGGTTTTTTGAAGGTTGTTGGATAGAATTGAGGTTACAAACAATGAAAATTTTCGGGGGTTAGTGTCACATTTCAAGATTGTTTTGAAAATTATTAGGGTTTAATATCGATATTTTTAGGCGTTAATATTGTCAAGATCGATACATTGTCCAAGAAATTTAAGATGTAAATGATCTTGTTGTACCACTATAGAAAAGATAAATTACATTATATTATGCTTTTATCCTATTGTGTTTTTGTATGGTTATAAGGTTTCATGTAACAAATATCATGTAGAGCAAGTGAGCAAAGATGATTACGTAGATGTACACCAGAAATAAAAGGAAAGTCAGAAACTTGAATGTGAAATTATAATGATTTCCTTATAGTTGACGATTACCTAACCTTTTATTACATGAAGGAAAATTATATTTTAGCTATGTTTAATGTTGGTATTTTTTATAATACTTCAA